GCCAGCCATTTTTAGTTTTGGGAGTTTGTATATTCTAGCTATCAATTCCCCATCACACAAGTAGTTTTCCATTCTGCAGGCTACCTTTTCATTCTTTTCCCTTTGCTGTTCAAAAGCTTTTTAATTTTATGATTCTACTTGTCAATTCTTGTTATTATTTCTTGGACTATTGGAGTCCTTTTCAGAAAGGTCTTTCTTATCTGGTTGTGCTCTGTAGTGATGGTACACACCTTTAATCTCAGCACTAGAGAGGTAGAGGCAAGCAGATCTCTGAGTTCCAGGCCAGCCTGGTCTACAAAGCAACTTCCAGGACAGCCAGGTCTACATAGACAAACCCTGTTGAAAGAAAGAAAAGAAAGAAGGAAAGAAAAGAAAGAAAGAAAGAAAGAAAGAAAGAAAGAAAGAAAGAAAGAAAGAAAGAAAGAAAGAAAGTCAGGAAGGAAGGAAGGAAGGAAGGAAGGAAGGAAGGAAGGAAGGAAGGAAGTCCTTGTCTCTGTCATTTCTGAAGAAAAAATTTAACTTGTGTGTATGTAGCTGTTTGTATGTATGTATACATTCCTACAATGTGCACTACACATGTTCAGCTCTCAGAAATCAGAAGAGGGTATCAAATCCCCTGTAATTAGAGTTTACAGACTCTACCACACGGATGCTGGGAACTGGGCCTAGGTCCTCTGCAAGAGCAGCAAGCTGTCTAAACTGCTGAGCCACCTCTCCAGCCCTGTGTCCATCCCTGTATGGCAGGCAACAGGGATCTTGCTCCGTTCTGCTTACAGTTGTCCAGCTAGCCAGACTATTGGGTGAAGAGACTTGTCTTTTCTCCAAAACATATCTTCGGTACCGTTCTTGAACATCTTGTGTATGTAGTCACATGATTTTTCTTCTGCATTCTCTAATCTATTATTATGTTTATTTACATGTTTTTGGGTTGTGTTCATTGGAATTTGTAGATCACTTTAGGTAATAGTCATCTTTACAATGTTAATTCTACCAGTTTTGAGAATGGGAGGTCTTTCATCTTCTAGTATCTTCAAATTTTTTTCTGCATTTTAAAGTGTTCGTTGTAGAGGTCTTACTTTGAAGAGACTGTTTTCCAATAGGTGCATGGGTTGTATCTGGGTCTCCTAGTCAATTCCATTGATCTCCTTGTTTATTTTTTTTCCATTATCAGGCTATTTTTGTTACTGTTTACTCAAGCCAGACACAAGCCACAGAGCTTCTGTGACTGAGTACTTTTCTTTCTGACTTCAGCTCTACAACTCAAATGATCCTTCTATTCTTTAGAGCACTGGTTCTCAATCTTCCTAATACTGCAACCCTTTAATACAGTTCCTCGAGTTGTGGTGACCTCCAACCATAAAATTATTTTTGTTGCTGCTTGATAACTGTAATTTTGCTACTGCTATGAATCCTATCGTAAATATCTGATATGCAGGATATCTGATATGTCACAACCCACAGGTTGACAACCACTGCTTTAGAGCAAAGAAAACAGGCTGTCAATAATCCAGTGGTTTGTGGGGCTTATTGAAAGAATCTGCATGAGCCCAGGACTCCACAGACCAAGTTCTCAGCACAAAGGAGATTTATTTGCTCCAGAGGGACAGAGGGCAGGGAATAAGAGACAAAGGCAGGAGACAGAGGACAAGAGAGAATTGGAAGGGAACAAGGGAGAGGGGGCAGGGGTATATATCCTAGAGAGGACCAAAGGAGTATCTCTGGGTAGAGAGGAGACAGACATAGACCATAGGAAAATAATGGTTTATAAAGGTAAAAGAGGAAACCCTGTTAGGATGGGGTGTTTAATTTTGATTTGGTATGTGGACTAGGTGAACCAAAGGGGTCTTTTGATTGCTGGACTTCAATACTTTGATAGTTGAACCTTGGTAGTCAACATCAGGAGTTGAAGTGGTCAAATAAGAGAAAACCTTGGTGGCCAGCTTTAGGAATGTAATCTAACAGGTTTTTAGCAAGGCAGAGCCTGCAAGAGCTATGTTTGCCATGTTTAAGCTGGCCAGAGTCGCTTCATTTATTGCACTCTCTAAATACCTCATTTTGTTATGTGATCCATTTAAATGCAACATAACTCAAACACCAGGTCAATGCAGATGACAAACATTTATTGTAATCAAGCTGCTACTGATCAATTAGGGCCTCAGAACAGACTCTAACCGCAATGAGCCAGAAGATCACAGAATATTTAAGCTGGCAAATCATAAACATTTGTGCCAAGTTATTGCTTTATTTCCACCAATCAGGATAGGAGTTGGCTCCTGGGCCCAGGAACATGAACTTAAGTTTAACTCTACCAGCAAGATAAAAATGTGTTTGAAATAGCTGGACTCAGACAACTGACTCCTAATAACAGAAGTTTTTCAGCTATTGGGAAGTCCCTAGCTGCCCTAGGACCTGGGACCTTAAACCTTGTTCCTCTTATGTTTAGGATATGTTTCTTCTGCTTATTCCTAACAGTTCTATGTCTGATCCTTAATTTTTACAAAGAAAGGAACTATTTTTGTTCTCTGCTGTGGTAATTTCTAAAGAGAATGCCGTGAAATGCTCCAGCTGCTGCACCCTCCGTGGCTGGGCCTGCTAGTGTGGACTGGGAAGGGGAGGATGAATGACCCGACTGTCAAAGAGTATGGATTACACTTGAGAAGATCGTAGAACAATGAGATAAATGTCTTAAATGTGTGGGACACGGTTAACAACAGGCACGAATCTGGAGTGATGGCACTCAAGCTCTCAAGTGGCTTTTTGTCAATGACTTCTGAGATTTTATGGGGCTATTCTTTTAAGAGATTTGTATAACATAGTCTGCAGTCCTGACTGGTAAACCAAGAAGTCTCCTATGGCTGAGAATTGCATAGGTGCTAAGTCTTTCAAGACAAACTTTGAATTTTTGTATGTAGAAATTTACTTGCTAAAGGTGCCTTTTGTGTAACAATAAAAACTGTCAATATTCAGAAAGAAAGGGAAGGAAGGATGGAAGGAAGGAAGATCGATCACTGGGAATATGTTCTAAGCACTTAGGGATAAGGCTTCCTAGCTTCTGGCTTGGAGTATTTTGTTTGTTTTCTTTTTGAGGCAGGGTTCCACTGAATAACCCTAGTTGACCTAAAAATCTCTATGTAGACCAGGCTAGCCTAGAATTTGCTGTGATTTTCCTGCCTCTACCTCTGCTGGGATTATAGGCATATGCCACAATGCCCAGCTAGGATGCTTATCTTGATCAGAATTTACTAGGATAGGAGATACTGAATGGGGAGCAGAGGAAGCTCTGAATGTGGTTTACTATGAGCACAGCCCTGCCAAGGACTCAATGCCTCAGACTCTCCAGAACAACACAATCTTCTAGTCAGTCTAGTGTGAATGTAGACAGGGTGTGCAAGTACAAATGTTTAGGGATGACTGACCAGTGTGCAAAGACCCAGCAGCTAGTTTCCTCCTCCCAGGTGTTATCCTCCAGCTGTTCCCTCCCACCCTGTGCTCTACATAATAAACTGGCTGAGTTTCACCATTGTGGTGTAGGCTGTGTGCTCCATCAGAGCCAGCACAGCTCGTATGAACCTCGTTTTTCTGTACCCCGTTTTTCTTTATCACTGCATGTCTGTCCTTCCTTCTCTCAGTTGCCAGAGTCAGGTCGAGTGCCAAGCCATGATGGATGCAGAGACATTGGACAAAGCACAGGGTTTCACTAAAATGCTGACATCTCATTAAGAAGAGACAAAAACAAGTCAGCAACTCTCTCATGTGACTAGGATACATAGAAAGTTGGTAATGGTGATAAATCATACATTTTATTTTCTTTATACCTCCTGGTTATGTTTAAATAAATTATTTTTTTAAGAAAAAGTTTCTAACGTCAAAGTATGTGAAGCATGGAGTCTCTGCCAGTTCCACTTGTGATGAGATTAATATTTGGAATACATAAAGAACTAAGGTTTTCTGTTTTTTAATCAAATACCAACATCTCCAAATGAGCTAATCAATAAATGGGCAAACAGACTGAACAGACAGTTCCCCAAAAGAATTAGACAGTGTAGAGGGAAAAGTTATGGATACTGGGTATATAGAATCCTTTTTAG